GAAGTTCAGGACCATCTCACCAGAGTTTACTAGTGTATTGAGTTGAATATTAATAAAAACCAATGCAGTATCATAGCAAACAGCTGATTGAATTATCACTTAACACAGAATATTGTCATTAGTTGGTGACCATCTCAACAGATTGCACCACGTTTTTTGGCTTCAAATTTTTACATTACATGGGAAGTCTATTCTGTGTATAGTCAACGGTACTGTTCATTGGTATTGAACCTGTACAAAGAGGCCTTCTCGGACGGTTTATAGACTCCAGCCATTGTCAACTTCCGGAGTGACTAAGACCAGACTGAGTGATAAGAGATAACGATATTTGTTTCCTAATTTGATTGTCACATTGATAAATCGACACCAGTTCAAATCGACCACGTGTTTATCTAATTGTCAAACTGGCTCTGTTATTGTTTGGCAGGTTTCTTTGTCTTCTTCTCGAATAGTAGATCACATCTATGGGATATTATTATGTACAGAAAAAGAAAATACTGTCACAAACAGTTATACAATTCATAAAGGTGCGTCACAAACTTCAGGGGCTGATAGTACTAATCAATCTGAACAAATAAGTTCATATAAACATAGGTTGAAAAAATTTCGTTTAACTACTAGCCACCATTTTGTATTTTTTACAAAACAATTTATATCTAAAAAATCAGCCATATTTTAGTAATTTAAGTTTTTAAACGGCCGCAATTTTGTTATTTAAAATAAAATTACATAATTATTTTTTGTATTGCCTCTTGACACGGAAAATGTGTTTTTCTCACTTATAAACTTCGTCCATAAGTGCAGGATTTTCCTAAATCAAAGCTGTTCCTCATAAAATAACCTCAAACGTTAGAGTAAACACTTCGTAGAAACGGATCAGTACAAATACTGTAGACTTCTTGGGCCCCCTGTATCAGAGGCAACATTTGAAACGTAAGACAGTCTAGCACTAGAAGTCCAGATTGAACTCAATGTGATTTTTTTCTACAGCTTTTTAATGGGGATTTTAATAAAAATAAATATTTTTAAGATACCTTTTATGGTTCTATATTGCTTACATTAAAACCGCGCCATTCATTTAGGCAAATCCTATATTAGAATGTGTCAAGGAGATGGGGATGTCGATTTTATATTTGGTTGTTGTTAATTTTTGCTGTAAGTTGGATTATAATTTGATTACTATACACAAAGGCAACGTTATAGTAGCATACCTCAGTATCAGCTGTTCATTTATAAAAACAATTTAAGATGGAAGCCCTTTCGGGACCTAATTTATAAAGGTATGGATTATAAACAAAAAAATTGTATTTAGTTAGCTAAAGAGTGGCGAGTCATGACGAAAAATACAGTTAATGGATCTTTTCTTCCATTAGTAGTTATTCTTGAGTTCCAAATAAAAGAGTATAATTAGTTTTATTGATAAAATTACTATTTGTAAAAATAAACTGTCTTTTCCTACAGTCACCTGACAAAGTAGCCTTCCTTGCACTGATTATGGCACAGAAAGTTGCTAACTGTTGCATCTACTTACTTTTGCCACACACTTTTTTACTTTTGCCGCACAGTTTTTTTTTTTTTTTTTTTGCCGTAAGCCAGTATTCCAACCAAACACAAAACAACGTGCTTTTATTAGGCACGTGATACGTGTACGCTTCAAAATAAGTTGGCAACCCTTAAAGATATTATGAATACGATCTTTAAGCTGGTGCAGCGTTTCCCGTTTCGTTCAATGTTTGGATTTAACCTAATCCAAAAACGTGTTGTACAGTGTTTGAAGGACTATATTTATATGCTTTATAGTAACCGTAGGAAAACTATAACGGGTAACGCGAGTGCAAACTGCCTTTGCTGCACTCGAGAAACCTTCCACACTAGAGAAATGTTTACGCACGAGCCCGTAAACATTTTTCTCGTGTGCAGCAAAGTGCCACCTCACCCACTAGTTACACAAATAACTATAGAATAATTTTATAATAGTATTTCTGAATACGGAACGATGAAACATCTTCATCGCAATACCGATACATTTGGCAAACCTAAGTTGATATTTTACTTGAAACTTGTCGATAGCACACAAATAATCAGAAATATCTATTAACAAATGAGATCGCACTACCAGTTGATATCTCACACGACTTTTGTGATAAGCAGTTTAAGACATTTATTGCCTGATAAGACTCAAGGTAAACTTAAAATCTCGGCTGTTTGCTACTTACAATAGCGCTCTGGCGTGAGGCGTTTGATTCAAAATTTAAAATCTTCGTTGTGAAAACTAAAAAAAACCGCAGTAAATAATCGTACCTAATCTTAATTTTTAATTACAAAAAAAGTTGAACTTATTTAATAACTACCACCAAACAAGAAAATATCCCCGTTGCAGAAAAGCTACAGAATAAGCGGATTTTAATTTGCCTGATTGTATTTTACCCAATTTCCTACAAAAATGTCTGATTTATTCCCTATTAATATAACAATAGATAAAATATAAGTACGTATTCAATTTAATCATCTTTGACTTTAAGCCTATATTTCAAAATATATTCTTGAAGTGATAACTTACTGCACATTGCATATATAGGGTAAACAAACTCTCTGGGACGCTTTTGTATTTTTGGGCCTTAGAGCAAACAATTGTTCATGGGTCTAAAATGCCTAGTTTTCTGTCTGTATGTGATTTTCACAAATGTACCGCACACAACTTTTGAACCGATTGAGCGATTGACTTCAAACTTAGTAAATAAGTAGTTACTGGTAGGACCAATCTTTGTTTAGGTTTCTAAGCTCTACCAATTTCAAATGGCAACCATTTAAATGAGTGGTTATCTTAAAAACTATAGGAATGTAAACTGTCATGAAAGAGTTCATTTTCTGCCAGATAGTCTTATGACTAACCCAACGATATAATTGTAAAAATCAGTTCGAAAACCACTTGGATATCACATTTTCGTGAGACCATGCATGGCCCAGACCGCCACCAAGTACCTCTCGCCTTTGGCTTCACGAAGTAAATTCAAATGAAAATAGATTATTTCCCAAAAATATCCATACATATAAACATAATCTTCTTCAGGAAATGTACTCACCACATAGAAATATCGTGTGCTAGGAGGAAAAGTTATATTTTTATAAATAACGATACTTAACTAAAAAATCTAGGTTATGTCAGAAATTTTACAATAAGGACTGTAAGTCTGTAAACCTAATGTTTAATACTCTATATCAGCAGCTATAATAATGTTGCATACTGATGGGTTTCATTTATTGTTTGCTAATAATGTTTCATTTAACACAACATAATGTATTATAATCCCGCAATTTCAATTAATTTATCATTCAACTATACTGAAAATATAAGTCGTAGCTGGAATTCAAATGGTGATAGCTCAAAAATTAATGTTTTGAAATTCAATTGATGTTACCGACATTCAAGCACTTGATTGCACGCAATATAAAACTACCATAAAGATAATTCTTGATTGCCTTCTTCACTCTTTAATGGTTTTCATACGTTTAGTTTATTAGTTGAAAATATTAATAAAAAATAATCATTTACAGTACAAAAATGTCTTGGAAATGTATATACAGTGTGTTTCCAAATTGTCTGGAAATTTTTTGTGGACTTGTTCCTTGGGCTAAGAAAAACATAAAATGAGTATGGGTTAGCCGTTTCGATATGGCACTCATTTAAATCCTTTAATGCTAAATTTCGTGAAAAGCGTAAATATTAAGAAAACTGTTTTAGGATTAAATAGATAGAGAATTTAAAATCCAAATCAAATGAGACCTTGTTTGTTAAAATCGGATGACAATAACAAACAACCGAATTATCAGTTTATTTCCACCTTCGGTTATGCTTTGTAGATCAGTGTTAATCTACAGCCTAAGGTAGGCATTAAACCTCCAGTCCACGGCATCACATGGCTAAACACCATTTTGTGATTGGAGTGATTTGAACCCAGGACCCCATGAGTCCTGCAATCTAACTTCTAGACATCCTCGCCCCTTTTGTCTGATGATTCACCTTCATCTATATCAGTGCAGATACAAAGATGTCTGAAACAGTTTACATTTACAACAAGCCAAGCCCATATGTGTTGTCAGATAAGATATAGTGATTGCCTAAATGAGGACATTGTATATGATAATACCTAAAAATTACCGTAAAGTTACCTAACCCATCACACATTAAAATTGTTGTTTCTCTCTAAATTATCGGTCTTTCTGTTTGTCCACATTTTTTTAAAACATATCAAGTACTTCATTAAAGGGATTCATTACTCTTAAAAATGTTCAGTGATTTTTTAAAAATCCATTTTGAGATAATTTTAGTTTTTATTTTATTGTAACAATAAAGTAGTACTGTATTTGATTTGGATCTATTTTACTCTAAAATCACCCCAAATTACATGTTTGATAATTAGTTTATAATGATCCTAAATATTATTCTGCTCATATTTTCCAGATGAAAATGTGTTTTTAGTGTCTGATTGATTTTACAGCTACCTTTTTGTGTAATCTAAAATTTGCTGACCATTGTATATAAGGTGGGCACAAAATTATGCCTTCGTCCCGAAGTGATGTCTGTGTGTGTGTACAAAGCTGCAGACTACGCCGGTGTGGTCCGATTTTGATGAAATTGGGTATGTAGGAATCTCAAATTGGGTATCCATGGTATATCCATGAAATTTTTCATTTTTATTAAATTTTAATCTTTAATGGTGATTTCCTTATAAAATAACGGAAAAATCAGATTAAAAACAGCCCAAACGTATTTGATTAAAATGTAACATGTTATGGTCCTTTAAACTCAAAACAAAATGGTACAAACCACTTTGCTGTAAAAATTAAGACTTAAAAGTTAAAATTTTGTAATTTTCCCATAAAATATAATTACTCCCACCGCTTACCCATGATTGGTTGTTGACAAGCTAATAGGAGAAAGTATGTATCATATTGCTGATACCGCTTATTTTAGAGTTGCCATTGTTTTATGCTTCCAGGTGCGGTGTTGGTAAACATGACTCTTCCAAGTAGCGTGTCCTCTCTGCAAATACATGCCGAGAACTTGACGCTGAATGAGAGTTCGTTAGTTATTATGAAGCAACATTTTGCATACCCCAGATGGGATCCCCAGAAGATCAGTGGATGGAGTGTCAACCAGACCTATATCAATATGTCTTTTTCTCCACCTGCTGCCAATGGAGTCTACTCTCTCTACGTTGAATACACAGGCTCCTACCAGAGCTCCATGGCAGGCTTTGCCAAAGTCGGTTACCTCTTCAAAAATGAACAAAAGTATGTTGATTCAGTATTTATTAGTGTTTTTATCTTTTTATGGAAAATTTGGAGGAAGGTTGGAGGGCTGGGATTTTATCCAACCATCCTTATTTGAAGAATCTGTCAGGGACTGCATATAAATAAATAAGTATAGTATAAATAGTTAGGTCCTTATGTATACTTACTCTTCCAACTGGAAAACTAATCATCACATACCATCTCATAATTTGAATCTCTGGTAGTGAACAATATACTACAGCTATATATATATTAGATGTTAGTTAGATTCCATAGTGAGATGTTTTTGTAACAATAAAGTAGTATTTGATTTTGATATATTTTACTCTAAAATCACCCCAAATTACATGTTTGAGCACCTATCATAAGATCTTACCCTCCTTCGTGGGGAGGTGGTTAAATGGTTAACTAACCAATTTGTTCATAATTTTTTTATTTTTTATTTTGCAACAATTTTCAAGAATAAAGTTTGAGAAGATTTTTTTAATAGGATGAAGTATTTTTATAGTTTGCTGGATCACTGAGTTTTGCTCCTCTTTTACTCCAGGTACCTAGCAGTAACTGCCTTAGATCCAACCAATGCTCGGAAGGTGTTCCCGTGCTTCGACGAGCCGGGGTACAAGACACAATTTTCTCTGGAGATCATAGTAAGCCGACCTCACATTGCTATCAGCAATGTACGACCGTCTTCAGTACACAATCATACGTAAGTTTTAAACACATTTTTGAAAACAATCGTGGAATATTCCCGGCTATATTTCAAATACACTTTTCAATCCCAATAATTATTATATATTTTTTATCATTATTTTACAACAGTTTAACTGATGAATTTTTATTTGAAACTGATAGTGGTACATATTCACTATTTTTATTTGGTTGTATCATCAAATAATTTATTAGATTTTGTTGTGGATTAAAGCAGCATGTTTACCTAAACATCTCATTATATTAGGATCTTGAATATTTTAAATTAAAATATTGTAAAGCTGTACATTTTAAACCTAGTTCCTGATTTGGTTCTGTGGAAATACCTAAGTATGGACAGAAAATTGTACATGGCCTATTCTTAAAAGGTTCCACAGATAAAATGTACAGTATAATAATTTCCAGTTTGACCATAAAACATTCTTCTTCTAACTATTGTCACTAAGGCAATTTAATTTGCTCTTGGTGTAGATCGAATGCAAAGAGTCGTATTCACTCCCATATTTACTCCTTTTTCCCGTAGTTGTAAAAATATTACAAGTCCCTTATGGACTGTTTAGTTATAAACCTCTAAGGATAATTTTAATTCATAAAATGTATTAGTTTTACGGGCAGGATCCTTATTAATAATACCCTCTAATTTCTTTTTCTCAAACTCTTTTATCAAAGAACCTGGATCATATCAAGTCATTATGCAATTTGAGGGTATTTTACCCAGCTGTAACATTATATTGATGTCTTGCAAAAATTCTCATTATAATGTAAAACATCTGAGCGCTACCAAGTTGGTTGATGAAATGGTTGGTAAATATAAATAAAGAAGTAAACTATTGTTGGTGACTGTATATATATATGGTTAAGTGGTTAACAGTCAAACATGTAGGCTACGTAAACATAACAAATCATTAGGTCTCAATTATTTTTACAATTAGGTGACTTATTTTCAAGTTTCAACTCTCCAACAGTATTCTTCACATCATGCTGGGTTAGACTGAGTTCATTTTAGTTATAAGCCAACAATTAGCTTAATACAATATAACTTACTATATCACTTACCGGTAACTTTTAAAATGAAACAAAAAATAATTGTAACAGTTTGTTTAAGTGCTGTTTAAATACAGACACACTTAAGTGTTACTCTGTGATAAAACTTTTACGATTAGTTATCACTTCATATGACACTTATGAAAGCTCTTCAATTAACAGGTATTGAGGACTAGTGCCTCAAGTACTGTTTAAGTAGTCTACTATATTTAAGTAGTAACTAGCACATGGCCCCCACATTTAATTGTGGGCCCTGTTACCAGAATCTGGCTCGGGCCCCCTACCAACCAGGGGGTCGGGGGGGGGGGTATGGAATACCCCCCCAGCGTAGAGGGGTGGTCCGGGGGTTCTCCCCCGGGAAAATTTTGAAAATGTCATGTATTTTAGTGAGTTTTTAAGGCAATCTAGGTATTAAATTTGTGAGTGGTAAATGGCACTTTTACAGCCTTTTTTAAGGAAGAAAAGAGTTCTTCAATGAGTTTTATAAGCTTAAAATTACAGGAATTCAGCAATTAAAACTATTACAGTATATCAATACACAAAAGCTCCATGCCTATTAATATTTTGTCCTTTTTATTTCCCTGTAAAAGGGTTTGGCTATCTTAACTGCTATAATTGTACTTTGTAATATGGAGTAGGAAAAAAACTTACGTAAATCGAGTTTAACAGCTTACACCAATGAAATCATATTTTATTCAGTGACAATTTTCATCAAGAATTTTATAATACTACATTTTTTGGGAGTGGATGCCTGAGCTGCCGAACTTGCGCGAGTAGTCACGGAGAAAAACGAATGTGCACGAGTAATGCCGAGAATGACCGATGCTGTCGATGCCGATGCTATCCAATCCATGCTTTAGTACAGTATTATACCGAGCGAATTGGGAAGAAAACTTAGGTCAAAATTATTAGGCCTACAATCTTTCATATTTTTAAAACTCCAAAAGTAAAGAATGTTTAAGTTTGTGTCAAATAACCTAGATTGCAAATTATTAATTGAAATATTCCATACATAAAAGTGCAACCGGAACCAAATTTTGATATAACGGGACAAATAAGCGTCCCGAGAGGATTTGTCGGGACGGACCAGTCCCCCTAAAACGGGACGTCTGGTCACCTTAGCTATGGTACATAGTACATGTCAATTTTTCAATGCTTTACAAATTTTATTTTAACTTATAACCATAATGATTCATTCTTGAAACTATCAGTTCAATTATAAAACCAAACTTTGTTTATTATGGGGGGAATGAGGTAGGAGTGGCTAGGCGTCTGGCGGGAGGAAAGGGGTAGAGGGAGTTTGTGGAGCCGGCCACTGGGGCCCGAGATGGCTGTTCTGCTGTTGTATAGTACATACGCACCTACGAACCTAATACTAGTATACAATACTAGTATATAAACTTCCTTAGAATCAAGAATTAATACATTTTTAATTATTTAACTTTGTTTTTTGTAATATATATATATATATATATATATATATATATATTATTTTTTATCTTCAATTTATGATCTGCTGTAAAGTGATCTTCAATGGGGAAAAAAGAAAAAAAATGGGTAGGACCGGGGCCCCTGAGGGCCCGGGCCCTGTGACCAGAGTTGCACCAGCCCCACCCTTGTGGGGGCCATGAACTAGCAATCAGATATATTTGACAACAGCTTTCATACAAAGTGGCTTTTTGTCACTTGAATTAGTTTGGAAAAGTATCAGATTTTTCAATGTTTCACTTTGCCCACTATAATTTTCCTCACGCTGGATGAGACTGAACAAAAGAAAAATTTTGGCTTGGTTTATTTTAATTGAATAGTAATCAACAGGAAAAGAGGGCCATATTACAGTTAAATTAATTCTTATATAGCCTACAACATTTTTCTTCCGTTTAAAAAAACGCCACTTTGCGCAAATAACTATTCGAGATTCCAAAAATCATTAATGCTTAATGTGACACATGGGTTAGGTAAGGGATGGATACACTCTTAATATATGGATGAACTCAACATAAGTTTTCCAAGAAGAAAAAATAGCTTATTGATAAGCGTCTGCTGAGTTGGGAGATCAACAATTTCATTGCAATCGTGTGGAATGTTTACGTTTTTGCTGCAATCATGGAAGACAATGATGATGTGTCTCTGACCGGAAGATGTTCACGATTTCACCGTGGCCGCAGAAGATGTTCTTGTTCCCCCCAAGACTGGGGAAAAGTACTTGATCTCATGTTAGATTCGTACAAACATGTTAAAAACATAATAACAATTTCTGACGTTTAGTTTGTAATTGGAGGATTTTTGGAAGAAGGGTTCGGAATAGCGGAGAGCTCTACCGTATTACTTTTGAGGGGTCATGTAATCACAGAAACCAACCAAACTTTTTAAATTAATCTGGACGTTAAAATACCATCAATCCGTCTATGTGATCATACGTCACCGATATACGTCACCGATGAACGGCGACCGGTTTCAACCCAGCAATGGGGCCATCTTCAGGCGATGAAAGAACATAAATTCACTTCGAAGAGGTCTTCAGAAAGTCTATAAATACATCACAAGGAACAACACTTAAATACATTTTTTACAAAAATATGTGTGGCCACAAATCGACTGTGCGGTGGACGGTATGCCTCCTAGACTCGTACCGTCCACCACACAGTCGATTTGTGGCCACACGTGTTTTTGTTAAAAATGTATTTAAGTGTTGTTCCTCGTGATATATTTATAGACTTTTTGATGACCTCTTCGGAGTGAATTAATGTTCTTTCATCACCTGAAGATGGTCCTATTGCTGGGTTGAAACCGGTCGCCGCTCATTAGTGACTTATGATCACACTGACAGATTAAAGGTATTTTAACCTCTAGATTATTTAAATTTGTTATCAGGAGGCAAAAAACAACAAACTATTTAGTCATTATTTGTTGGAGTCATTAACAGTTCAATACCATTTACAGTTAACAGTAACTTAACTAATGCAGTTCAATATAGGTAGGTACCTATATCAACCTATATACCTATATACCTATATCAATTTATTACAATAAATCAATCAATTTATTTATTTTGAGATGGGTATGCTACAAAGTTGTATTTAAACTTAAATATGAATGTAAAATGAGTGTGGGGTGAGTTATAAATGTAGAAGAGAGAATTAAGGTACAGAGGAAACATTCAGTGGTACACTTAACTGGTGTCTAGCACTAGTCGCTGGTGTCTAGAGCAAAGTCGAACACTGCCCCCTCATCCTCATGTACTACAGCCCTCATGGTGGAGGAAGACCCTGTGCAATATAAATTTCCACAGTGCTCGCCACACAAGCTCTTCCTTTCTCATCACAAGTATATTTCCGGTACGACATACTAGAGCCAAAAGCACACAATTGTCCCATGAGCAATTTTCCTCTGTCCTTTAATTCTCTGTGATTTTATGTGGTTTTGTTACTGAATTAGAGCAGCTGTTTCTTTAGTCAGGACGATTTAGTAAACATTGAATGATCAATTTTTGCTGGGTCCAGTTTTGACCAATCAAAAACTACTACTGACTTTGACTTTTATCAGCAAATTAGGAACCTTCAGATTGTTAGCCAAGAGGCAAGAACTCCATTGAGAAGTTTATTGTTAGATTACGATAATAACAAATTTAACTTTTTAAATAGCCTACATTTTTTCCAACCTGAATATTAATTTGTTTACTGTGCATCACTCAACTATATTTATGTATATTTCTAGGGAAACGACCAGAGTATTTTTATTTCACGACTACCCTGACATGCCAGTCAACCAGCTGGCCTGGGCAGTAGTTGATCATACCTCGTACGGCCTCCGAGAAGACAACTCCACCTCAACAATAGTCCATACACGAGCCCCCTACCTCTATATGAACCAGACTACATGGGCCAATCAACTGTCCGCACGATTACTTCAAGCAGTGGGAAACTACACAAAAATACCATTCAACCAGACTTCCAAACAGGCTTCCAGCAAAATCGAACAAATTGTGCTTCCAGAATTCTTCTCTGGAACTTCGGAAAGCTTTGGATTTACAAGTTTCTCGTAAGATTTTTCATATTAAATTCTTAATTAGAATTTGAGAAAAGTAGATCCTCTCATGAGGAAATTATTTTTATTTTGCTCAACCTAAGTAAGATCTTAACTCTGAATTTGAATATATTTAACCTGAAGTTAGATTTAGATTTGAAACTACATCTAAAATCTACTGAGAGCTACAACCCCTCCTTATAATGTTTTATTTCCATACTGATTTTATCAGCTCATTTATTACTCTCAAAAATACAATATACAAAAAACCAATGCAGGCTTAGGACAAAAAATATAGTAATAAAATAAGGAGAGTTAATATTTTAAAAATGATTCTCTTATGGAATAGTTTAAAGCTTGCTATATATTTCTTTTAAGAGAGATGAAGATCTTGGAAGATTTCTGTTAAATGTATGTCTGAGTCTTCGCCTTACTATAACCAGGATACTACCCACAAAAAAATACAAATGATTAAATGTTGACCTAGGAATATGATACAGAAGATCTTTCTTCTAGTTTCCATTCCTTCTTTTAAGATTGGTAATAATTTTCAATCCACAAGCATTGCCAACATTATGGAAATGAAAAGTAAATTAAAAATATGTCTTATAACACTTGAAAATTATATCTACACTTATATTGTTATAAGTTAACAGAAGGAAGTGAAGGATTTCGATTTTTACATTCCAATCATCATCAGACCGAATAGGCAAATGACCAGAACCTCGATGGCACCCCTACTGTTATCCTATTGGCTACCAAAAGTACCGGCCAAGAAGTGTCTGCAGCTGGAGTAAAAATTTACTTGTTTATACTATCTTTTCTATATTTACTGTGTTGTGACTCAACAGTATAAGTTTAAATATGTTTCAAGTGTTATTAAAAGTATTTTTATTTACTTTAATTTATATCTGTCAGCCCTAACCTGTTTGGTACCAGAGGTGCACATCAAAAATCCTCTCAAAACTGTCATTGAAGATCCAAATGTTGGCATTTATGGAACATATGACTTACAGGGAAGAAATGATCCTGGTATCTCCAAACAAGTCTTCTACTAGATACATACAAGATGTAGCACTTACACTGTCCAGAGGGGTGGTGAGGCAGTGGTTCGGTGATGTCGTCTCCGTTGATTCATGGGACAACTTGTGGATGATGAAGGGAATCGACGAATACTTGCAATATGTCATAGCTGGGTCACTCGTAAGTAGTAGTGCTCTAGGTATGGATCAGGGATTTCCAAATAATATTATGTTTTATTATAATCAAAGAGCCTGATCAAATCAATCAACTCAGATGCCACTTTAAGTGGAAGGCCTTGTGCAAACATTCAGAGTGGAGCTCCTTGGCTACTACTGTACTAATAATAACTCTTCCCCAATCACAATACAGGTTTTATATGGTATATTTTGTATGTTTTATATTCTTGTGCCATGGGTAGACTTTGAGAACTTTATTGATGTAAAGTGTTTACTTAATGAGTAAAAACGTTATCATATTCCCAAACTTCGAATTGAATTTAAAATTGTATAAAACACAAAAAATATGTACCATACAAATCTGTTCACACTGTCATTTACTTTATTTTGAACAGTTCTGAATTCAAAACTGACTTTCAAAACTATTATCGCCATACTGAAATCAATGTGAGCAACTCGCTCTATCACAATAACATCCATGATGGTTTCCTACGATTTCAGCAACATTCATGATCATTTTCTGCGGTCGTAACTGTAATAAATTCCTGCTATGGCGGCAACAACCGTCATCATCTCTCATGATCGCAACAACATCCGTGATTTTGTTTACAATCACAGCAATCCCCGTGAGTTGGGCAACATCTTGATGATGACATGCATTTATATTTAACTTTTTTATACACAGCTAATTCACAAGGAAATCAGATGGAATAAAAGTGTATTATTTTCAGTCAGAAATGTCAGACTGGGAGTTAGAGGAGCAGGTAGTTGTGGAGCTGACCCAGAAGGGGCTTGAACTAGATGACCCTAACGCACACACTCTCACCTTCCACAGTGAAGATGAAACTGAACTGGTCACAACCGTTTCTGACAGTCTTACCAAGTATAAAGGTACCAATAGTGACGCACCTCTTGATAAATAAGCTATAACATATGGAACAGTAATACTTGAGAACAAGACAAATATTGGGTACTAACTTTGAACACGAATAAACAGATGGTCGAAACCAGAAATTTTGAATCTCAAAACTGATACTGAATCTTAAAAGATTCCAAATTATAAAGTTTTGAAATCTTAACGTAAAAATCTTTTACTCGCCTTGAATTTTTAAGGTTACAAAAAATCATATCTATCATTACTAAACCATTGGCTGAGGATCAAACCATAAAGACTAAACTGTTAAATTCCTTAAATTTTACAGGTGGTGCCTTAATCCGGATGCTGAAAGATATATTTGGAACATCATTTCATGAAGCAATAAGCATGTTTATTTCTGCCAGGTAAGCTTTTTACAATATTTAATATAAAGTAAGTAAATTTAAAGGTGTCTAATCAACCTTCTCAAATGGTATATAATTTGCTAAGAATAATTGTGACGACTAGTACTGCCTCTTGCAGTAAAATATTTAAGTTTAGTTCTTTTTTGTTAGATGCTATTAGTTACTTAAGTTCACTAAGCTTCATAGCAATCAGAAGTCTTCTTATTCACTTTGACTGATGATCCACTGAATTGCAAATCAATGAAACAGCAAGGGACTGCCAACCTCTTAAAAAAATCTGCTTAAAACACTATAATATCTTCTTGGTGAGGTTAGAAAATGTAACTTATTTATTAATAAATTTTAAGAGAAAATGTTCTAGCGATGCCCCTTAAATTCATTGATATATTCACGAGGTTATAGTGACAAATCTTCTTTTTATAAATTTATAGTTACATCTTGCTTTATGTGTCACATGGGATTTGATCCAAGTTGATCCATTCAATAAAATCTTTTTCAAAAAGTCTGTCGTTATATTGAACTGATACTCAAGGAAATTATTCTTATTCAGATATCAAGGCTATAGATCCATAATACTATAGTTGTTTGATTTCAGCATGTCTTCTTCTCCAACCTTCCCAAACCCAACATCACCAACAAACTTTTGGAACTTGCTCTACGGAGTAGCCACTGACAAAAACATCGACCTAGCTGAAAAGGCTCTGGAGGACATCATGGAAGAGTGGACATCTACCCCTGGATACCCTGTGCTATCTATCACTTCAAACTCTTCTCACTTCACTATTTCACAGGTAATTTGAGTTTTCTTTCTACTTTATTATTCCTCTACTCTCGTTAGATGGAAAATGCCAGATGTTAAGCCCTAAAACTACTCGGCAGTGTAACGCTTTAGCCAACTGAGAGTCAATAATTCACCTATGCCCCAAGCTAAATTGGAGTTTGGGTTTTAACACATTTGCTGCAGCTGCGTCCCCGGTGACGCATGGCGTGCCGTAGACTGTGGTGCGAGCGGCTACTTCACCAAGGACACAGCGGGCAGTGCATTGTTTGCCCAGTTAGGCTCAGTATCTAGCCGAGGACGGTTGATACGCGTTAGTATTGTGTCTCTAATACTAGTCTATAATTGTGGTGTAGGTTGGTAGTAAATTTCTCCAAAAAATCCCCGTCTGGCAGGCTTTGAAATCAACTTTTTGACCCGATCCCTCCCTTCAAATGGCAATACAATGTGACTGGCTATGTTCCAAGCAGTGCTGCTATCTGTGGGTGTTTTAGCAAACTACGTCGGCTCTTGTTGTAACGCAGCACGTTATTTCCTATTCGTAAGACCAAAATATTTGAATGCCAATCGCCCAGCAATCGGGTTCGTTCGACGCTGCGCCGCAACGGGGCAACGCCTGCCATTGACGGGCCGCAGCAAATGTGTCAAAGTGTTGATACAAATTGACAGATGAAAATGTAGCAAAAAACATGATTATATGGTTATATTTGCAGATAAATATTGGTTTGGTATTGCAAAGGTCAATATTTACTGATAACATTGTTATTGATTCAAGATAAATATTCCTTGGGCATATAATAAATATTGACAAAATTATTCTTATCCTCAAACAATCAGTTCAGAAAGTGTTCTTGAAAGATGTGATGCATGTATTTAAGTTTCTACAAACATGTAAACATATTCGTACATGTGGTGCGGGGACCAGTCCAAACATTAAGTGGCCCCTTATTATCAAAAATTTAGTATACCAACAATAGTAACTTTAAAAAAATCTGAAGGTATAATATTAGTATTTAATTTATGCACCCACTTTTTTCTACTTCAATATTGACGTAAAATTCAAGGACTTTTACAAGTTTTAGGTATTTTGCACTAAAGCGCGGGGCCCCCTGGGCAGTCGCACTTTTCGCATGTGTCTAAGGCCAACTACTCTGCATACAAACCAAGAGCTAAAATTAATGATTGTGAATATCAAAGTTTATTTATCATGCACTCCCTGTAAGTTTATTATTTTGTTTATTCACTAAAGCAGTTACTAGTCGTTTTGTTCAATGTTTGACAAATGTTTTAGACACTCAAAGGTATTTATCACAAGATTTTTTTTTTGTCCTAGGACGCTAGGCATGAGCCGGGGATTATTTTTCACACAAGTTCAGGCTAGTATTAGGGGCTACGGCATTATCACTTAGATAAAGTCCATTTACGATTTGGCGGGATCTGAACCCGGGACCTCGAGGACCGAAGTCCCGTGCTCTAACCACTAAACCAGCTCTCTTCCCATTTGTATTGAGCATAGGCATAACTACAATCACCCAAAGTGAGAAGTTGTACAGTGGGCAGGGGGGGATGGAATACTCCCTTGTCGGATGGGGGTCGGAGGTAATAAGAACCGAAACTCACATTTTTAGACAACCTAGGGGCATGGGGCATATAAGTAACTAGGATGATTTTTTGGATCCTGGGATTTTAACAAGGATTTCATTTTTGTTTTGTGATTGCCCAACCTACTTAAATATACTTATTTTTCATTATTTAATTAGCTAATTTATATAAAAATGTGTACACTTAACAATCGGTTTTCCTAACTTTTCTTAAACCCAGTTATAAATACTGTGAGTGTCTCTTCAAGTTTTCAATTCAGTGTATTCTTCCTGAGTTAAGGATAGATGAATATGTATAATAAATGAAAAATTTGCTTGCAGTCCAACAGCAGTCTATGGTGGGTCCCAGTGACATATTCCCTCCAAGGTTCTCCAAACGTGAACAGAGTCTGGTTAGAGCCCAGTGGTAATTTCAGTGTCCGAAAATCTTCTTCCAACTGGATTTTGCTAAATTTGAACCAAACAGGTAAATTGTAAATTTTTAGTGGTTTGATTAACTATAAATGCAGTAGTCTCGACTTTCAGGACTAGACCGGGTCAGCAAGGTTGGATAAAACAGTTCATAATTAAAACCATTGTAAAAATTGGAAAACATTATGCATTGAGAAAACTTGCATTACATTACTTTTTTGTTTTTTCCTGAGTAGTTGTAGATGAGGTGTTTGTGTCACCCTCTTACCTACAAGAACTCAGGCAACAAAAACAAAAGTAAATATAACAAGTTCTTGAAACTGGGATAACTTGTTTGGCATTTCCATATTACATAATCATAATAAGTACATTAAAATAAAAACAATTCCTAAGCTTGGGTAAAATTTTTCATTACCTTATGTTTGCTGGTTTATTTAATCTTCTCGCCACCAAATCTCTCAAAAAGTAAAACTTTGGTGGTGAGTCTAGCTCCTGCTGTTCTACATAATTATGGGGGGTAGCAGTTGAGGTACGAAGGTATGAGGACTCAACATACTTAAATGCACCAGCTAAAGGAAAGTATCATTATATGTGAAGGGAAGCACCAGGAAAGCAAGGGGAAGTAACTGGAGGCACCTGAATCCTGGTGTTTACCTTCTACATACAGTACCTGCAAAATGAAATGTCTCAACACACTATATCATAAGTCCAGTTTTGCCAAATGAAAATAACTATCATGATACTCGATTGTCCATAGAGAGGGCCGGACACATAAGGTCTGATAATTGAGACTTAATGGTGTACACATAGATTTAGTCTATTAAGATTTGACTACTCATGTAATCAAATTTCATAATAGGATAGCTGCTATAATTGTGGAAAGTAATATTGGAAGGCTACAGCAATTGTATATCTCCAACTTACACAAAAATAAATAAAACTGGTGTCTTTAAGTGACATGTTGAAATTTTACTACATGGTTGAATTTACCAGGATTATTTATTAAAATCCCAATAAATATTAGGGCCCACAATAAAAAATAAAAAACACTATTCTAAATTAGAATCATTTTCATACAAAATTTACCTCTGGCCTTCATTAAAAAAAGAATTAAGAACAGTGCCAGAATTACCACTTGGTCGCAAGCAGTGCGAGGCCCCAGCAATTTGAAAGTTTCAAGAAAAAAATTTGAATTTTGATGTCCTTAAACCAATTCTATGATCACGGGTGAGAACGATGATGTCCCCGAGATGTTCATGATTTTGCCGCTATCTCAGAGAAGCATCTAGGGTGCAGGGACCACTTGGGTTAACTAAGTTAATTTTATTACTAGTGTTATATTTTTCATCTCTTTCCCTGAAATGGTAGTCAATGAAAATAAATAGATGAGTGGGTACAGAACCTGCTTCATAATTGTCCCCAGCTTAATTCTGAAAAAAACTCAAAAGCTTTTTATCAGCTGATTGTTGTTGGGAATAAAGCTGTCATATCTTTCTTTCAAAACTCATACTTCACTCATCATTGCCTTAAAATGTGTATCTCGGTGTGTCGGTAGATGACTTACGACGTCTTTGAAAGACGTCTATGATATAGCTCTTAATATTATTTTTATCTAAATAATGACCATGTTCACTCCGTAATAAAACGAGAGAGTCGTTGCTGCACCGCTATGCACCGCCACAGGGCTATCACTGTCACCATCCCTCACCCCACCCCGTCTTCTCTCCGCCGGTATTTACATGGTGACCTATACCTATCCAAGGTAGAGTAAATGAAGGATCCCACCATTCCAGGGTCTACTATGGACGAGAGGTATGATCTTGATCTGTGAGCAGTTAAAATGAGGGGCTGGTGGAAATGTGGAGGGGAAAATAGCGGCGGTGGCTTGCCAGCATGTAGCCAGACGTGGCAAGCGGTGTGATCATGCTGTATTAATACACCAAAGACGTTGAAAGAGGTTTGGTGACGCCGGTGTGAATTGATAGGAAAATTGAGCATCTCATTCACTCCTTGGTGTAGTAGAGTAGGCATGCAGAGGTGTGACAGCTGACAGGAAACATGTTAAGGAGCTTAGAAATAGAGTAACCCAATAAAAAATTTAGTAGATTAAGAATTACTCTTGTAATCCTTGTATCATGCATTAGACATGTACATTAATGCATGTTTATTGTTCAGGTTTCTACAGAGTCAACTACACGTCAGGCTTATGGCAAGCTCTCTCCGCTCAGCTTTCCTCAGATCTGACCCAGCTGCCCAGACTTAGCAGAGCTCAGCTAATTGATGATGTCTTCTCCTTTGACCCTAACATGGCTCTAGAGTTCACTCGTTTCCTCCGGGCAGAGACGGATTACTACGCTTGGAAAACGGCTCTACGCCATTACCAAAACCTGATATATTCCATGGCTGGTCACTCGTCTTACCAGTTACTCCAGGTACAAACAGCCGCCAGCATTTTCAATCTCATTTAGAGCCGGTTTCAGGGTACTTGCGACCTCTAGGGTACTAGGCCAAACTAACCCTTAGGTGGAACTTCCATGAGATTGTAGCAAAACCGTCAACACCTTCGCTATCACGAGAATATCATGATCCTCACATTTAATAATAAAAATTATATCGTTTAGAAAATAAAATTCATATTTTTTTTTATAAAAATGTTTACATGCTATTTTCTTACAAATTGCTGTGGCTGTAAGAAAAAGTTCTGCTTGTGGCCGAAGTCCAGCACTGTTCTTATTTTATTCTTAAAATTAATGCAATTTTAAAAAGTAGAAGTTTTTGGACATCAAACTTAAAAAAAGTCATAGACATATGAACATAGATTGAATGTGTCCACTTCTTTACTTTGAGAGAGAAGTACCTAATAAATTATTTTTCTATTCTGCTCACAGTGCAGTTCAGGTCTTATGGGACAATGCTGAGCTATTGCATTACTGTTAATATTGTCATGACTTCAGTCATGAAATTCCAGTGCATGAAATTTCCTCCCAATCCTTGTGAAGTACATTACTAATTTCTGTATAGTTATACCTTTAAGTTATTCTGATAATGTACCTAACTAAAATAGACCAAATTAGTGTAGTAAAAATAAAGTAAGTAAACTGTAAAGTAGTAGGTTAAGTAAAGGTTTTTTTAAGATTCACAATGTTTTTATGAAGGCTAGGATTGCTAATACTGCAATTTAAAATACCTAGCTTATGGGCTTTCCATATTGCGTAGTGAAAATTGTATTGATGAATCCACTGGAATTGAATTGCATATACACTGGATATTGAAGAAGGATGCAAACTCTTGGATTGGGCTGAACATTAGATAAAATGTAATAAAAAAAACTTGCGACTAAACTGTATAAAAGTTTTAACCTCCTTGTATTTACAGATGTTTTCATTACCTAATTTTCAGTATCAATAAAGTTAACTTTAATAATATTCAGATTTTTACATAATTTAGGGATTAAAACTAAAAGACTGATATGGTACACATCTGTTTTCTTATAAATGAACTCTCTTGCTTGAAATTGGTTTCACAGATATCATCAGTATGTATTTAAGGTATTTTGTCTATTTTTTTTTTTTTTATTGACATCCTCTCTAGTAAGATACACAGTACCAGCCGAAGACTCTGATGCATATGCTTTTAAGACTTGAGCTCTCCAGCAAACAAATTTAAAAAATACTACCAGTTTATACGCTATTGAAAATATAGAAACTACTTTCTATCATTATTATCTAATTATTTAAAATTTAGTTATAGAGATAGTAGGTGAGTCTAGACTTACCCGATTGACTCTGGTCCTTTATTACTGTTACAGGACTACGTTCTAGACCTGATGAATGGAGTGATTGCTGAGGTTGGGTTCTCATCAAATCTTCAAGACACTCATGTGGACAAACTCAAGCGTTCATTGATCCTGGAGAAAGCTTGCCAATTCGGACATAAAAGCTGTATTCAAAAGGCAGTGGTTAATCTAAGAACTTGGATGGCACAAACATAGTAAGTAAATGGAAAAAAAAGATTGTGATAACATCTGTGAAACATTTTTGTAATTATAAAAAATACAATAAAGAAAAATGAAATCTTAGTTGAAATACAGGGTGGCAATTGATGTATAGCTGTGCTTATCAATTAAACTATGAATTTTTTTTAGTAAATATTGTGCTATTAACACTGTGATTTAGCTGTAGAAACCTATTTAAAAAATGGTGATTCTTGTTCAAACACCCAGAGATTGTTTGGACCACATTCCACCTTGGTCAACATGCAGTGGTGTAAGTACATCGAGCCGCGTCCTACGCAGTACATGTAGATAGCACCCCCCCCCCAAAAAATCACCACTTACGTTTTATTCCTTTATTTCAGTAAAAGCCATGATTCTGGCATAATCCAAAAACTCTCCCGAACGATTTTTCATCGTCTCCCTCGGTCATGGAAACATTGTCATCGTTTTCCGTGATTGCAGCCAAATCTTGAATATAACCTGCATATTAGAGAAATAGTATTCAATTTTTACTTTTTATAAACTGGGACACATTCATTTCCTCACTCTGTATATGGATTTCCTAGGTTTCCTTACTTTAAGAAACTACTTTGAAACTATAACCACTATAGATTGTCAAATTGCTCAGCCAGAAGAATTTAATTATGATGGGACTTTCTGTGTTGCAGCTATATGACCCTGACCTAAGTTCTGCCCTGCTGTGTGCTGGTGTGGCCAACAGTTCCTCTGATGATACAGTTTGTGTGTTGCAGCTATGACCCTCTGACCTAAGTTCTGCCCTGCTGTGTGCTGGTGTGTCCAACAATTCCTCTGATGATACAGTTTGTGTGTTGCAGCTATGACCCTGACCTAAGTTCTGCTCTGCTGTGTGCTGGTGTGTCCAACAATTCCTCTGATGATACAGTTTCTGTGTTGCAGCTATGACCCTCTGACCTAAGTTCTGCCCTGCTGTGTGCTGGTGTGTCCAACAATTCCTCTGATGATACAGTTTGTGTGTTGCAGCTATGACCCTGACCTAAGTTCTGCCCTGCTGTGTGCTGGTGTGGCCAACAGTTCCTCTGATAATACAGTTTGTGTGTTGCAGCTATGACCCTGACCTAAGTTCTGCCCTGCTGCGTGCTGGTGTGGCCAACAATTCCTCTGATGATACAGTTTGTGTGTTGCAGCTATGACCCTGACCTAAGTTCTGCTCTGCTGTGTGCTGGTGTGGCCAATAGTTCCTCAGAAGTGTGGTACAATGTCTGGTCTATGTATGAGTATTCAATTTTCCCGAGTGTTCGTCTGGCTCTCCTGGAATCCCTTACTTGCACTACTGACACAGATCTTCTTTATGAGTAAGTTTGTGTTTGTAAAACCGCTTATGTTTTTAAATATATATAAATCTCCAGAACGGAGAACATAAATATATATCAGGTCTGCCATAAAACAAGTTATTTTCAGGAAAAGTGTCCAATTTGTTTAGCTTTACCAAGAACAGTATCGCTCCAAATGTATTTGTAAAAAAAATTTTTGAATCATATTCTTATTTTAAAATGTACTCTGAAGCGTAAATGATTGGGAGTATCAAACAGTGTATATAATACTGATATATTTTTTGTCATCCCAGTTTCAAGCACTTGTATTACTGAAATATAAGATTTACCTTTGTTGTTGTAGTTTTTTGTAGGTAAGATGTTTGTGTCACCCTATGCATTTCTATTTCTTGTTCTCCATCTTCAGGGGTCTTCTTGATTTCATCTTCTTATCACTATCACTATAGTCTATATTTACAAAAATATTTACACACACGGTCACTAGTATCACGGTCATGTGTCCGTCATCGCATTATCTAAACGACCCAACTGGAATACTAGTGACTGTAAGCGTGTGTAAATATTTTTGTAAATATAGACTGTAGTGTTAGTGATAAGAGGATAAATTTAAGAAGACTCCTGAAGATGCTAAACAAGAAGGATAAACACATAGGGTGACACAAACATCTCACCTACAACACAATAACAACAGGCCAATAACAACATAATATATAGGCCTACAGTAATACTGAATTATATTCAGTAATATTATTCAGCACAAGTCAGTTGAAAGCATACACAAAATTATCACACAATTAGACTTATTTCCCCTTCCAAGGAGGATACTTAAATAAGAAATAATAGGATGAAAGCTTAAAAATTAGCACTGTTTAAAACGTCTGAATCAGTCCTGCCAACATAAGACTTTTTGCTGTAGTTGGTATTTTTTATTAATCTATTTCTGTATTTTGAAATCAATTCAATTTTCAACTAAATTGCAAAACCTAAAAGAACATGTCACTTTTTTCTAAAGAATAACTTTTGGTTATGTTCTGCAGATTTTTGAACAACATAACCTCTACAAAAGACCCTGTTGTGAGTAACAAGGATAAGAGGACTCTTCTACAAACACTGAGTTCTAAACCTTTTGGAGCTCATACTCTTCTTGATTGGCTGGTCCACAGATTACAGTAAGTTTTATAACCATCCATATTAGGTTTTATATAGTATTAAATCTTCAGCTCCTCTGTCAATTGCTAATTTTTTATTATTAATTGTTAACTGATAAGGAGAAGTGTAGTGGGGCAGTAACCTGTGGGATAAGCGTTCCCCACTCTGTTTTTACCATAGAACCTATAAATTGGTAAGCTAACCTAATTTTTCCGCAACAATGATGTGCGTTCCCGCACTGGGAAATCTACGACTACTTGGCTGATAAGTACAATAAGTCATATCTACAATATAGCAATTTTTTTGGGAAGTAGCTATTACCATAATAAAGTGCAGCCAAAGTACATTGAATAAGTTGATGTAAAACAATAAACCAGGAGTTAAAAGTTTTTTTTACATTTTATGATCAGTATAAGCTAAAAACACTATTTTCAGTATTTATTAACTTCACCATATTAACTAAACCTGACACAAGAACTTAAATAAGCTTACTAGCCAAAAGATTGACACGGTTTCAAACACCATCTCAGTACATTTCCAATAAGTTTAACTCGGTTCCAGTGGAAAACGTTATAATACCAGTAATAAAAAAAACCCCAGCCGCAGCAAACCTGCAGACTAAGCAAATTTCAACTTGTCTGATTACGTTTTTACTAAAATGTTTCCATAAATAAGACATATATTTATTCCCAATTTCAAAAACATTAGATTAATGAGTGCTTAGGTTTGCTGCTACGGGGAAGGTGAAAAGTGTTTTTTGACCAAACATTAATAGCATATGATGAAATAAATAAATTTGCTAAATTTGATTAACATATATCCATAAAAAAGTAAACTACAACAGTTTTAAAATCTCCATAAAATAACATGTGAATTTTAAATGTACACTTTTTTAAATGTTCTCTGTAACCCTTAGACATAAAACAGCGCTTCAATATACTAAATTATTTCTTTTTTAAGCTCTATATTATAATGGTTTGGAAAAAATTGTAAAATGTTATGTTTTTAGGGTCAAAAATGGATCCATTTTTACCACATAAAACCCCCCGTAAACCCCCGTTCCCATAGTCCAGTCATTGTGGTTCGCGAACTCGTTCGAATAAATGTAGGTTTAAACCAAATTTCATCAAAAATGGATCTTTTTTGCTCGAGTTATCGTGCTAAGGGACACATATATAAATTTATTGCCTCTGGGGACCTCAAAACAAAAAAATCAATCGGTCCCAGGTCCAGGTCTTACCATGAGACCTACGGTAATGGCTTATCCCCTATATGGGAGATTCGCTAAAAGAAAATAAATCAAACAGATTGTAAAGACTGATTGAAACATTCAAATGAACATTTGAAGAATCTGATTCTAAAAGTTATTTTGTTTAGTTTTGGATATAAGTTGTTAGTACTATAAAGTTTCCAATGACAGCATTTAAATTAATAAAAATTTCTCATACTAAAACCTAGGTCTGAGATCAATGTTGTTTTCCTAAGAAAAACAAAAACTCTGTTTTTTGAGATTATTAGTTAGTTATCTATATAAATGTTCTCACTATAAATGTTTACTCACTTTTGTAAAAATGCACATTGTATGTGTTAATAAATAGAATGATAGAACAGTGTTAAAGATATAATTTACTATGTCCATATCATTTCGAATAAACTTAAACTATACATTTTTACAAACTTTATCAATGAATAGCACTAATATAATAATCACTGTGATCCAGAGCACAATCAAACGGATCTGAAGAAACTTCCACACAAGCACCTGTCACTACTCCGGGATCAAACAGTTCCGGCGTCGATCCATCTGGCCGAGCGGAGGATGGAGTGAACTCCTCCGTAGTGACCAATGATATCCTACCAGAGTCCGAGATTACAACAATCCTTCATCTTATACTACCCATGTTGACTTCATTGGAAGATGGAACAAAGGTGTGGTCAAAATAAGTGTATGAATTTAAAATGGATCAATGTAAGTTTTCAAAAGCCTAAGGGTAAAAATTCCTTTTCTTCTTTTGTAATAGTTATATTGCAATCTAGGTATACTCCCCCCCCCTTAAATATAATTTAGGTATACCCTCCAGGTATATGTTATAAACTCTTTGAGCTCTGTCAGCTGATATATCGGACCACAGAGAAGAAAGGTACAGAGAACAACTTGCTGCTTATGGAACACCCTTACGCTTTCATCTCTAGTACGTTGTGCCGGAAATATACTTGAGACAAACAAGGAAGGGCCCGAGCGGCGAGCACTATGCGGAAATTCCTATTACCCAGGACACAGGGTCTTCTTCCACCATGAGCGTTATAGTACATGAAGGTGACAGACGGTGTTGGACACCCTACCCCCCTCCTTTTCCCTAGACACCTGTACTAGTGCTAGTCACCACTTAACTGTAACATTGAATATTTTCTCTATACCTTATATTACTGCTTACTGATTACTGCCATGGCCACTTATACCCAAGCTGGTACATGGCCTCCCTAACACATTGTCGCGAATTCTATACCTTAAACAAATACCAAAACAAATATTTAAAAAATTCATATACATTTCTCGTATGTTTTACAAGCCCAATGAAGTTTGCCTAATGAAGTTTGATAAAAAAAAGTTTTGTTCCTGATTAAAAGTCTTTTGTGCATTATTAGCACAAGTAGTATGTGTTAGTTGAAATTGTCACGATTGATCAAAATTTAGGAAAATTAACTACACTTTAAAACTTCTTTATTATTTGAAAATGAATTTTTCAGTTGGACTCTTTCCTTTCCTTGGGAAACAAGACAGGACTGTCCGATGCTACACTTACCACAATGAGGAGTGCGACACAGAAAATCTACATGCAAGCTGAGCAAGTCATGAGTCTAAACGGTAATACGCTAATCAATTTTTTTTTTTATATGATTTAATTAGTATTGTCAAAACTTGTGTTTAGGATATTCAATATAGAAAAGCACTTATCAATAGTAAACTACTAGAGATAGTTGATTTCCCTAATCAGTGGAACAAAAATATTTTTCCCATCCCTGCATAGAAATTATCGTATTGCCACACCTGTAAAAAACTCATAAAACATATTTCTTCACAGGCAAGTTGACAACGTGGCTCGAGGCGGAAGCTCAGTCCACTACTTCTGGAGGTTCCACTAGACCCTCGTCTTCCTCCTCCCAACCCCCTCAGACCACACCCCCCCCTGGAACTGGGGGTGCCTCACAGTCGACATCTGGGGCCTTCTACTTTACCTCCCTGCTGATGATTACCTTTAGTTATCAACAAATATTTTAAACAAAAGTATTATTCAGTCAGTTAAATTTAGCTGTAGACATTACCTTTTGAGGATATTACAGGTGTTCCTCAAAGCTCGGTCTGTGTAAGAAGATCAGTATTTCTTTTACATCCTAACATTTTTTTTAACTTTACAGCTGCATTTTTCTAATAGTCGGTAACTAGATTGATGTATTCCTACTTAGTAAATTTTCTTCCGTTTGCTAATAATTAAACATATTAGCCACTAATGAAACGATTTTGTTTGTACTAGTCATTCATTACTTATATCTACTTTGTTTTATTATCTTCGCATTTACACAGATTGAGGGGTAAATGTGACTTTTGTGCTACACTACTTCAGCTTAATTTTTAGCCAAATGTTATTCCTAGGAACAAATGGCTGAAAAATTCTGTTTTTTCCAGTACTGTTCTTATTTTGAGTGTTATTACTTTTACAATATTTATACATGTATCATATACCATATAAATTATAGCCCTAGCTTAGTACTTGGAGCATATAAAAAATGCTATCAATTTTAAAGCCATATACATAGCATCAATGTAATTTGTTCATTAAATAAAAATGTTCTACTTAACTTCCGGATTTAAGTTGAAATGATAGACAGGTGTAAAAATAACACAGGATAAATGTGAAAACTACTTGTTCATAGTATTGTAATTTTAACTCAAGTATGTGTGTAGTGGTAGTACATTTTGTTCTTGATATTTATTTTCTAAACTAATTTTTACCAAAGTAATGTTCACATCTAAAGCTTTTCTGTAAAGGTATTTATTTTGTAAAAACTACAGTACCGTACTATATGTGGATACTTAAAAGTGTTACTAGATTTAAAATACTTATATATGTATACTATCTGTGTATTATATTATACATAAGAGTCTGAATGAAAATGAGTGATAAATTAAACTATATTTTTCTGTAAATAAAATTATTTTAATATTTATGTGTTTTTTTATTATTTATCCGGATTATTCATTAAGTAACCCCCTTAAAAATCCGTACCCCATTAATACAGACTTTGCTAAATATTTACAGCAATTCTAAAGCAGTTTATAAAATATTTCATACGGCTAAATTGGCAACACCCTACTGTAAAGTATGCAGTGTTGTTGCAAATAATAGCACAAAATCTTTACTGAGAATGTGAGGTTATATAGATACAGGATTGAAGTGCCATCACATAGTATTGGCAAAAATGAGAAAATAATTGTACATGGTGTTTTTTTAATCAAACCCTATCAGTGCCAAGATACACTAAAGAAGCTCATAAGTTAGTTTGTAGCCCTGTATTTTTTACTTCATTGTCAATCAGCTGATATGCATTGTTGCATTGTTTCTTGCACATACAAAGTTCCAGGGAATTTATTTTCTACAAGACAAACATGGTGTTTTTGATTGCTCAAGGAGTATACTTTGTAGGCAAAGGCCTAGGGTTTTTTTTATTCAGATCTGGTTCCCTTAAATGTTTAACAACTCTATAAATATATAATTTATTTTAGATTTTTGTTTTCCATTTAGCTTAGATTTTATACCCAAAAGATCGATGATAAATATAATTTAATACAGGGTGTATTTAATGGAACCAAAATTACAAGTACTTTGAGACTCTGTTTAATATGTTGGTATGCCTGTTTTCTTTACTTCATCTCCAACCTGCTGATATGCATTGTTGCATAATTATCTATGAGGTTTAGTGTTATAGGGAATTCATCGCAAATAAGACTCAACATGGTGTTTTTGCTTACCCTGTATGTATGCATTGTAGAAACATGAATAGGGTTTTTGCTACAGATCAGATTTCCTTAAATTTTTTACAAATCTATAAATATCTGATCTATTTAATAGGGTACTGGAAACATAATTTCAATTTTTTTTGTCATACAAATCAATGATTTACTTTTAACGTATTACTGTATTCCACAATGCACACTCTTTGAGCTTTCAAAAACACCAAGTTGAGTCTTATTCACAATTAATTCGTAATACGACTAAACTTTGTAGACAACAACTCAACACACTGCATATCAGCTGTTTGGCAATGAAATAAATGAAACAGGATACCAAATTATGAGCTAATTATGTCCTTAGGCAGTATCTCTTGGTACTTGTAATTTTGATGTATATGATATTAAATAATAGTTTTCGTTACTAGTCCCTAAAGTAGGCTTTTCTAGGAGCCGAGTCCGGAAGTTCGATTAAGTCACAAAGAAGCTTTTTAGGACGAGTTACGAACAATATTTTTCATTACATTGTCATATATTATAGCAGAAAAAACAAAATATAGCCAAAAACGTTTTTTAAAAAAAGGAATTAGGTTATGTAAGTTTGTTTATATATTGTTGAAGCATTTTAAAGGATCAGAACAGCTGATTTGATTTTGAGATAAGCTTTGACATAACCATATGATTCGAGTCGTAAAATTTACGGAGCTATCTAAAAGCTATCTTCAGGGACTCAAAACGATCCGTAAAACAGCTGATTTTGAGACAGTGTTATGAAAAAATACCCCCGCCGCAGCAAACCTGCCGACTAAGCGAATTTACATTTGTCTGAATTGATTTTCAGTTAAATATATTTTAATAACATTAGGTTTAACGAGTACCTAGGTTTGCTGCTACAAGGAAACTAATAAAGTGTGTTTTTGAGTAAAATATTGATAGCTTAGTACAAAATAAATAAATTTGCCAAGTTTGATCAAAATATATCCATAAACAAGCAAACTACAACATTTGACAATATTCTCCATAAGAATAACATGGGAATTTTATATTTACAATTTTTTTAATTTTCTCTGTTACTAATAATTGAACAAAAATACTTTTATATACTAAATTATTTGTTTTTTAAGCTCTTTAAAAAGGTCTAAAGAGAAATCGGGAAATTTTGTGTTTTGAGGGTCAAAAGTGAGAAAAACCAATTTTTACCCCATAAAACCCACCGTAAAGCCCCGTTCCCATGGTCCGATCGTGCTGGTTCGCGAACTCATTCAAGTTTATCCCGCTTTACACCTTTAAACCAAATTTCATCAAAATCGGACAAAAATTACTCAAGTTATCGGGTTCACGGAAATATATATACATATATAAAAATTTGAACGAATGGTGTTTTTGGCCTCTGGGGACATCAAAATGAAAAAGTAAATCGGTCCCGGGTCTAGGTCTTACCGTGCCACCTACGGTAATAGCTACTTCCCTATAGGGAAATTCGCTAAAAATAGTGTTATTACCAAACCACTATTTTTTATGTAACGTTTAAACTACACTATTTTACATGTTTTTCCTTAAAAGGTGTTTAATTACTGTACATAAAATGTACCCCAAAATAGCACCAGACTTTCTTCATATTAATATTATTTAATTTATTCCAGTCTTTCATCAATCCGGATGATTTGCATTTCAAAATTACCTGGATCAATAATTGAATTTGTACTGTACTAATTTTGATATTACAGATTGTTTTTTGATTCTATTGATCCATGTGGTATCTTGTTTTGATAGGGCTGAATAATTAGTATTATCATTAACATTAGTAATGTACAATATTTTTATTTACAGATCTTTTAATGCTATTGTCCATTTTGTCGATGTCATTATTGATAGTTATTAAATATGATTTGGTAAGAGGAAAAATAACTGACAAAACTCCAACGATACCAACCTTTATTATAACTTCTAAACATCACAGAGAATGTGGAAGTGGCCTTACTTATTTATCTGTATTTTTTTACTTCGACAAGTATAAAATTTGGGTACAAACTTTATGTATTATTTGTACTGCCCTTCCAAATGGCTAATATAATAGTTATCGTGTATCAAGCATATATATTATATATATACATACACATAATATATATGTATATATATGTATACGAAAGGCTGCCTGTACATAAACCGCTAGCTACAAAAATAGACAATAATACCCATATTAACAGATGCGTTATTTACAGTTTACATCTTTTCATCATAGTATATAAAATATTAACACATTTTAACCCTACTTAAATGCATTACTCTTTTCATATTTAGCATTTTTAAAGAGCAAGTGATTAAGAAATAATTGGTTGAGTTTATTAGCTTAATACCTCAAGTATATAAATACAAAAATTATGAAATATACATGAAATTAGGTATACAAAATTATTATTACACCAAAAGTCAAATCAGCATAACGATAAACTAAACTTAGTACATATTGTAAAATCATCTTTAACTAGCTATATTTACAGTAGTGTCACCTTATTTTATTTTACTAGCTCTATGAAAACACTTGTATGTAACTGATGAACATTTGAGCCAAACTTCTTTTGCATAGACAACAAATACACTAAAAATATAAAACCTACTACATTGGAAAAGGGACTATTCATCCAGTACAATGTATGTAATGCAAGAATGAATGTATTATGATGTGTAATTCCAAAACTAAAAATCCAATGTCCCAGAAGTGTCAATGTGTTACTGCCAGATATACTAGTATTATAAATTATTAACTATACTAATAACATTATGGTAGGATAGAATAGTTTGTTTAGCCATTGTAATATTATTCATGTAATTAAAGTCTTTTTTGAAGGTAATATATGCGATTGTATTTCTAAAGGTATTTTTAAGTTTGATATAGTAAGTTTGCTTTGTTAATCAAGAATTATTTGTTTAAACGGTTTATTTTCAAATATGTTTTTATCCAAATATAACTGAGATAATATGTAAACCTTACAAACATTTAGAGTAATTTTTTCTTGCTTCAACTTTTTCAGCAAAAAAATCCTCTTGAAGGAAGCTAGCCAGAAATATTGTTAATCTTTTCATACCAATTGTTTCACAGCTGGTGAGTTTTATTTGCGTCTTTTAGCATAGAATAGAATGTTTACAATAGAATCCCTTCATCACATTTTTAGGTGAGATGTTCCTTAGCAATAAATATGTAGTGAGCCTTACTAATTTAAACCACAATCCTTAATAATCAGGACACCAATATAAAAGGGTTTCTGCTAAAAGATTTTATACCAAGTGTTGTCTGTATACATTATCAGTTATAAATGTTTATTAATTATCAACTTTTGTTCAAATATCAGCAAAAAGGGTATTTATAATTCACATGGACGGGGAACTGGAAAAGCCGGAAAAGCGTATTTTTTTGTTAGGACATTAAGGGATTTTTCAAATAACATCTACTTAAAAGATAAACATTTCTTTACCACACCAGAGAGTGGTGCTATCAGAAGAGCAAAAACTATTTGCTCATACATTTTTATTTGGTGTGTTATATAGTTATACGGGTTCATTCTAAACAATCTATATTTTGTCTTAATTAAGTTAAAACGTAGGTTTTAATACATGCGTTACAAGAGAAGTAATTATTTTTATCTCCGTGTAAATACGAATTTGCAGGAGACGAATTTTTATCGTTTAAAAACTTTTGTTTTGAACAATTGAGTGTGTTGAGAGCAGGACTAGTTTAACAATTGTAATTTATTAACGACCAATGGTAGTTGAACCACTTTAAACTTTGAAAATTAAGTGACATGGAAAACGCAATCGTAGACTCTTCAGTAACAACTGATCGTTTATAAAAACAAATCAAGATGGAAGATACTTTGGGAGTTAACTTGTGAAGGTAAACAATATACAAAATACAGTTCATAATTTGAATTCATTTCCATTCTAGCTCCTGAGCTGTAATATTCAATATGATAAATAGGTTACATACCTTATAAATCCGACAAACAGCTCTTAGGTCGTCTACATGTTTCGGTTTGTATCGGCCATTGTCAAAACGTCGCAGTTGGATGGTGAAATCCTTGTCATTGTTTCCTACTAAAAGTACATACACAAACACACATACATGGACGGGAAGAAGACATTACGAAAACGAATAAAACTTTGAATATACTGCGAGTCCCATGCCTCACTTTAAGTTTAAGTTTCCTAAATGTTACA